GAAGGTCACAAATTGATACTGATACTCTCTAAAACCATATTATTACCTAGTTTTGCTAAAATCCTTTCTTCAAGAAACATTAAGCATTTACTATATGAAGATACCATCTTAAGTACTACACAGAATACAAAGAAAGATAAAATCTAGACATAGTCTCTAGACTTCACCTGTTTACAACTTTAAAATCTTCAGTGCTCCAAAATTTTAGAATTTCTCCACTCATTTTTTCAAAAGAAACCATTAAACAAATGTCTGTGTTTCCAAGACAGCCAAATGGAAACCTAACCTCTATTCAAAACACAGTTATTCATTCAAGTGTACCCCTGAAATGCAGGAAACAGTTTTAGGACTCCAAAAGGCTACTTGGGGGTTTAAGGACAAACAGTTCCATCAAGTTAAGTATCAGAAGCAGCCTCACTACAGTCTTCATATAACAAAGGAATCCTTCTTCTGACCCAGCTGCAGAAGATTCTTGCCACCTGGCATAAGAGAAATTGTTCCTCATCTCAGTCCACAAGAGGCCGATGGCCTGGGCTAAAAGATCACAGACTGTGATGCATTTTTATTGTTAGAAAACTGAATATATGTAAAAAAGATCCATCTTGAACGTAAGAATCCCCTTAATTCTGGAAGCTGGCATTATTTTATTTTTACATAGTTCAAAATTAAACATGTTCATTTAATCTGAAGTATGTTTAAGTTTCTAAACTAAAAGATTTTAAGCCCACTTAACTCATAAAGTGGTTTCCAAATGCAAACTACAAATGACAGACTTTATTAAAAACGTTTATAAACACTTAGCTTAGTAATCATTCTTTTAACCACAATAATTGTTCTTTTATTTTTTTTTTTTGTTTAAAGATTTTATTCATTTATTTGTCAGAGAGAGAGAGAGAGAGAGAGTGCACAAGCAGGGGGACAGCAGAGGGAGACAGAGAAGCAGGCTTCCCGCCGAGCTAGGAGCCCCCTGCAGGGCTCAATCCCAAGACCCTGGGATCATGACCCGAGCCGAAGGCAGACTTGAGCCACCCAGGCGCCCCCACAATAATTGTTTTTTAACAACATGCTGCCTCAGTTCACTTTACTTTAAACCCCACTGCCACTTATTTGCTTAAGTTCTTGTCTAAAAGAAGACACGGAAGAAAAAATCGGGTGAAAAAGTAGAAAAAATAATTTCTCAATACAAACACAAAGAACACTCCTTTATATCAATTATGACTCTTTCATTCTAAAGCTCATTTCATAAAGCTAAATTTCCAGGTCACTGTAGCATGTTTTTTGAACACTGGAACTCTTCTTTGAATGTTAATATTAAATATGCCTGCACATGCATGTAGGCGCATGTGTATTTTACAGATGTGAATGTTCATTTTCTCCACTTCACAGCGTGTTTTATATTTTCTTTATATTCCAATATATGCTATCCAATAACGTAAGATTTTAGGATACTAAGTGCATCTAGAGTTATTTACCCCAACAGAAAATACTCCCAAAATGCTATGCATGGAGTTGTTACTTAGTATCTTCCTTCACTTCTATCAGGCTGTTCCTCCATGCACTCCTGGGGATGAGACAATAGTTTTCATAATGTGGACCACTTATTCTGGAGAAGACCAAGTTATTAAAGTGTTCACAGATACAGGGGCGCACCTGGCATTTTTTAGACTAAATATGTACTTCTGTTTTCCAAATACATACAGGTGCTCCAAGGATTACATAACACACAAATACAATGTACCACTAAGATCACAGTAGCTTCTTAAAATTACGTATAATTTTTTTTTTTTTT